CAATACATATTTGTATTTGGTAATAATAGGCTAAATTTGTATTTGTATTGTATTTGAATAAAAAATTTTTAAATATTTGCATTTGTATTTGATTGAATTATATGCGTAATTCTATAAACTAGATTGATCGGTGTTTTTTTGGTAAATACCAAGAAAAATTTGTAGTTTTTTTTTTCAATTTTGATGCTAAAATAAGTTAAAAATTTTAATTTTTAAATTTTTGATTAAAAATTCTATTAAAATAAATTATTAAATTATGTAATGCAATTTTCGGCCATTTTTTCTTAACCTAAAATACAAATATTTTTGTTTGTATTTATATTTGAATTGCTAACTTGAAAAAGGGGACATGTCCTGCAAAAATTCACATAACATGTCCCCTTTTTCAAGTTAGCCATTCATTTGGAAAGTGCTGATTACATATATTTGTATTTGAATTTGTATTTGGAAGTCTACATTTAATGAACTTCTATTAGATCAGATGTATTTGACCCCAACCCTGATTAATGCCATCATAATTATTACAATTATTATTATTATCATAATAATAATAATAATTATTATTATTATTATTATTATTATTATTATTATTATTATTATTATTTAGTAAAAAAATTCTAAGATATTGTAAGATTGCATAACAGCAAACCTATACAAAGTAATTATAAAAAATATATAAGTCCTTAAATATAATATATTAGCAAAATATATGCACCACATTTAAATACAACACATAAGGGATCCTCCACAATTTTTAACCCCTCCCCTCCTTGTCACAACATTGTAACACTTTAGAAACAAGTCCTGTATGAGCTGTCACAAAACTACTAACTGCTCTCCCCCCTTCCCTGTGACATAATTTATGGACACCCCTAAGCATAGAATTAACAAAAAAAGTTTCATAAATGTCCCTTACAAGATTTTAGCATTAACTCTAAGGTATGGACAGGTTTTAGGGCCATTTTTACATGAGCAACCTCAAATTTCAATAACATTTGGGTTGGTTTATATCAATGAGTAAAGTAAACTCTAAAAATTTCAGATTTACTTTTTTGACTCATGATATATGGTTATTTTAATTTTCTAATTTTAAAACTTACTTAGAGGGACAGTTTCTGATTCCGAATTTGTTTTTTAGTCTTAACAAAATGAAAAAAAAATTAAAATAGAAATGCTTCAATACGCATTATATACAAGACACATTGTACAATTCTTTATTTTTTTATAATAATGTGGATAACACATTTATCTTTAGTAAGCACTTTTTCCTTAGCAGACATTATTCTTACATTTTTCAAAGCAATGAAACTGATGCTTGATCACACTTACACCAGCAGTTAGAATTAGAGTCCGCATTCGGCAATGCCATCCTCACTGCCAAATTAACAGTGTCTGAGGTTGGTATTAAAAACATAACTTTGTTTACTATTTCAAGTAAATTAAAACTGACAAAAAATAGTTTATTTAAATTCTAAATAACATAACTTAAATAAAAACAGCAAAAAATGGATTAGAAAAAATTTAAATTCTAAATAAAGTAATTAAAAAAACAGCAAAAAAAAAACATTTTAAATTCTGAACAAATAAAATTTAAAACGCACATTTTATTTAAAACATACATTTAAATTTTAGATAAAATAATTAAAATAAAAACACTCTAATTAAATTCTAAATTAAAAATACAAAAAAAAAAGAAGCTTTAAACATCCTTTCTCTAAAGGAGATAAAAATTGCTGCATTTGTTCTAAACCAATAGTAACTTCATATAAAGTTTCATGATCTTCTAAGTAAAGTTGAATAAGGTTTCATGATAAATCCTTTTTAGAGTGTTAGGTAAGTCTTTGATATCATGTAAAAAATGGACTATATTATTGATTCAATAGAAAAAAAGACATAAGATATTTTTTTAGCAAATGTTTGTATGAATACAAATATGAAAAAAATTTTTTAGGTATACCTAAGAATATTCAAACTGTATTAAAAAAAAAAATTCTCAGATGTTGTAAGATTGTATAACAGCAAACCTATATAAAGTAATTATAAAGGGTGTAAACGCAATGTTTGGAGATAATTTAAATATTTCTCCTTGCTAAAGAGGCTAGGTTAAAATAACCTAGACCTTGTTATTAAATTATAAACTGTTATATAAAATCATTCATATCTGTATAATATAAATATTCATATAATTGCATTATGAATGTATACAACATGCATATCAGTATAATATAAATGCTTATACAACTGCATTAAACCCTAGATATAACACACATTTTGAAATGTTAACTAACTTTATGTATTTTTAAAACTAATTTTTTTTTTTTTTTAATTATATGTATCATAATTAAATACTATTGAATGTTAAGAAATATTTGTCTATATCTAGCAGACAGCAGATGGTAAATGCTATTTATTAGGATCTTAGCGCTCAACAAAGTATATACTAACAATTTTTTTGTCTCTTCTAGCTAGCACTACCTAAAAATTTTTAAAGACACGTAAAACATGTTTTAGCAATTTTCATTGTGCGATATAACCATATTTAGTATTGAAATATAAACTTTAACAACCAATGTAGTACAGTTTTATATTTTCAAGTTAATAATTATAACAAAATTAGGAACACTCATTTAAAGATATCATTACATGAAAGGAAACCAAGATAAATATTTTAAATCAATGTTTTACAAATTTCAAACCAATAGTGAAATCAATTTTGTAAACATGGTAGATATTAGTAATGTAATCAGAGAATAAATTAGGTTTGAAATTGAATCATGGAACTGAGAAATCCAAAGTTTTGTTATTAAGCAAATACAGTATTGTAAAAATTAATTGCATCAAATATGAAATTCTTTCTATTTGTTGTCTTATGATAGACAATGTAGATAAAAACGAAAAGCTTCAGAGAGAGATAATTATGATAATTATTATGATGCAAGAGAATATCAAAAATCCCAAGACAATGACCAGATGAATGATTTAGCTGCTTGAGCACTGTGCAGCAGAGATATATAGCTGCTGGAAGGTTTGCCCTAAAACCTTATGTTTAGCAGTTATTTACAGATGTCATGAACTGCGGCACTTGTGGGCATCAAAACAAAAGAGGAGTAAAGAACAATGGAGAAAGATAAAATACATAGAAACATACAGTTGTTAAGTTATTATTATTAAACTAATATAACCATACAATACTTGAAAATTAATTAGAAGAGACTTGATAATTGTTAACTTATTTATTTCTTTCAGGTTTTATTTTTGGATGAGTCTCATTTTGAAATGCAAGACACAATAAACAATGACACTTCATTCTACAATTACAATTAGCTCTTGAGATGTTGAAAGTGTTTCTAAACAGAAACAGTAGCATTTAGTTACAACAGAGTTCATTCAAGAAGTGAACTTCTAATAATAATAATAATAATAATAATAATAATAATAATAATAATAATAATAATAGAATAAAAACATTAAAACATTTAATAACTCCTAAAATCTTAATCCAATTGAGAACCTCTAAACAATCGTAAAGAAAAGACACAACTAAAACTAAGATTACCACCACTATCCTTCAGATTTCATTTCAAGATTCAGAATTTTTAGCCCTACAAATTTAGCTATCAAGTTTTTTGCTTTATTTTTAGGTTGTATAATACACAATCATAATCACAACTTAAAACATGACAAGTGTATATGTTATATGTAAAGAACTAAGTTCTTCCAATAATTTATCTGGGATAACAAGTGGTTTACAAACCTTAATTAATTGCAGCATTATTCATGGTTATTGATTGTTGCATATTTTGTGATATATTTTGTGAAACGGCAGCATTGCTCATGAAAGTTTATTGTTGCATAACTATCTTGCTAAGCAGCAACAATACAGCAATTCATAATAATTTTAAAATACTGCTTCACAGACCATATTAAAGAAACTTTTTAAATAAAAACCCTTCTATACTGCCTGAAATATAAAACATTTCTCTTGAAAGAATATTGTTTATTTTCCAGGAACACTGCTATGTTGACCCTTAACAATGTTTATCGCAATAATTATTGCTTAACAACCACTTAACCATTCCATAAGACTGTTCAGTTTTGTACTGAAAAAAAGACTGATCAATTGGGTAAATAGGTAAACAATCCTGTAACTGCATAGATTTTGTGTATGCAACTTCAACAAGTTATGCACAGTTGTCGAGAAACATCATTTTCAAAGCAAAAATCATATCTTTACTATTTTGATTCAAAAATTTTTGTTTTTTTAAATAGTTTAGGTTTTCATTGTCGCTAACAGTGTCCTTTTAAAAGTGCCTTTTTATTATTTTTTTAATGTGGGTTAAAATTCAAAAACTCATTAAAACAGCTTAAATTAAAATAACAGTTTTTCAATTAATTTTTCTCAAACCATGGAAGTATAAAAGATTTTTTATACATCCTAGCTCAAACTAAAACTGTGAACAACTATAAAATAGAACTTATTTGGTGAAAACTGTTAAGCAACTTATAAACAGTACAAAATCAAATTCAACTCTATAAGTAAGTTATGTTATGGGTTTAGTTTTTTTATGGTATAAAAGTTAAAAAGAAACTCATTTTATTAAAAAAAATGTATAGGAAACAAAAAGAAAATGATAACTATAACTGTGAACTTTGTTGAGACATTTAAATATTTAAATAGAACATAGGAGTCCTATGATAGGATATGCATGCTTCTAAAAAGACTGCCTTTTAAAATATGGACATGTGACAACATATTTATAAGTAATAAGAAATAATATTTGATCAAACTTATTGCTAAAAAAAATAGATATTAATAAAGAAATGTATATCATCATGTACATATTATGTTTTTTATACAAAAACATAAAACAACATAATAAAAATCTCTTAAAAATCACTTGATTAATCTTACTTTAGATTTTAATGTGTCACATTGAATATTCTGCTTATAATAATTTCTAAACAAAAATAAAAACTTTTAATTAACTTGATTATAAAATAATATTTTAACTTAGAAGTCATGGAATTATCAAAATTAACATGATTACTTAATTACCTCTTTTATTTAACCTAATATGGAAAATTAAGTTTTTTAAAACATTTACATTTATTATTATAAACCAAAATATAACTTAAACTCAACTTAATATTGACTTTTAAATATGAAAATATTTTGCCTAACCTAAAGACAAAAACAAAATATGTTCAATTCGAACTTAATGACAACTCTCTAATTTATAACAATAGCTTTAATTTCTACGATATGGTATAAATACATTTTCTCGATTTATAACAAAAATGTGAAGGAAAAAAACAAGGTAAACATGAAATATTATATTATTTGAGTTATAAATATATTATTTTGAGTAAGGTAAACACGAAAACCAAGATTTTTTTAAAGAGGGGATTGCGGCAATTTTGTTCTGAAAGATACGGGGTATTTCTCATTTGATATAAAAATATAAACATTACCAGCACTAAAATATTATTTAATAAAATTTGAAATGTATCATTATTACTATTATTATTGCTATTATTGCTATTATTATTATTATTATTATTATTATTATTATTATTATTATTATTAATTATTATTATTATTATTATTATTATTATTATTATTATTATTATTATTATTATTATAGTTGTAGCCGTAAAATATACATACCATATTTACATACAGCGAGCAGGGAAAACACCCTACTATAAACAACCAGTTTTATAAATATTCGTTCCGAATTTTATCTTCAACCAGTGATCTAATCTAATTTTAAAAGAAAGTTTTTTTTTTTTTTTTTTTTATATGCATTCACTCCCAACAAGGCTGCAAGCAACCACTATTAAGTTGGGAGTTACTAGGAAAAAAAAGAACAGAGTTATAAAGCAAGGAAACGGTTGACAGAAGACTTGAAAAGTTGAAGGTTGTATGAGTCAGGAGAACATGAAGATGGGAGAGAGTTCCAAAGGATTGAAGTGCGGGGAAAAAAACTAGATGAATAAAAGTTTTTAGAGCATGCAGGGACAGATACAGTAAACGAATGAGACTTAGCTGAATGACGAGTAAAACGAGAATGAATTTTAGTTGATGGAACTAGAGATGATAACTCCTTTGAGCAGTGACCATGATAGTATTTGTAGAAAAGAGAAAGAGATGCAACTTTACGACGATGGGAAAGAGGTTCAAGCTTAGCAGATAGTCCAGGTCAAACAACATTTACAATGCGTTTTTGGACCTTGTCAAGAAGAAAAAGTGAATCGTTAGAAGAACCAGCCCGAATATGACAACAGTATTCCATACAGGGACGAATAAGAGATTTGTAGAGATAGAGAATGGAATCAGAAGTAAGGAAATGGCGAGCACGATAAAGAGAAGCAACCTTAGCAGAATCTAATTTAGCAATCGATTGTATATATGGTTTCCATGAAAGGTCAGTAGTAAGCAATAATCCAAGAAGACGTAAAGAGGACGACTCAGTAAGAGGATTGCCATTCATTAATATAGGAATGTTGACCATATTACGGTAGTTGTTTGCAGTAAGCAACTGGGTTTTTTTACAGTTGAAATTCACAAGCCACTGGGAACCCCAATCTATTACTGAAGTGAGATCGGATTCAAGATCAGCTGCTTGTTCTAGGCGATAGAAAAGAGAAGACTTTTTGTCAAGACAGGAGTATAAAGTTGAGTCATCAGCAAAAAGAGCTACTTTAGATGAAAGGTTGTCAGGAAGATTGTTTATGTAGATAAGAAACAAAACAGGGCCCAGGATGGAACCTTGGGGAACCCCAGAAGGTACTGGAAATAAAGAAGAGTGTTGGCCTTCAAGGATGACTTTAATAAACCGGTTAGAAAGAAATGATTTGATAATCTCAAAAACTTTCCCAGAAACACCATATGAAGCAAGCTTATGGAAAAGACCAGCATGCCAAACTTTGTCGAAAGCTTTAGATATGTTGAGAGCAATAGCCCTAGCCTCACCGCCTCCATCTAATGCACGATAAAATCTTTCAGTTACAGCAGTTAGCAAGTCGGCCGTAGAGCGAGAGAATCGAAAACCGTATTGATTGTCTGACAGCAGTTTATTTGACTCAAGATGAGATGTGAGGAATTTGTTGATCAAAGACTCAAAGACCTTGCTAATAACAGAAAGAAGACTGATCGGACGATAATTGGAGGGGTCAGAATTTTCTCCAGAGTTTTTAAATATTGGAAACACAGATGCCATTTTCCAACAAGCAGGAAAACAAGACTCAGTCAAACACTTGTTAAATAGTTTAGAGAGAATTGAAGAAAGTTCTGGAGAACAATTCTGCAAGACTGTAACAGGAATGTTGTCTGGACCACAAGCTGTAGACGAGTTTAATTGAGATATGACTTTAGCAACAGAAGCCGGAGTGATTTGAATGTCTAACAATGGGTCAACCTGTTTGACTGGAATGGAAGGAAGAGAATGTCCATAAGATTCAAGAGTGGAATTAGAAGAAAAGTTCTTTGCAAATAGTTCTGCCTTATCCTTGAGAGAGGTAATAAGATCAGTCCCATGAATGAGAGATGGAATGTTAGATCTACCCTTGTTAATAATGCTGTTGAAGATTTTCCAAAAGTCTTTAGAGCCTAACTTCTGCGATAAGAAGCGAGATTTAGTGAACTGAGAATAATGGAGTTTAGCATCAGAAAGCACCTTTTTACATCGATTTCTTGCAATAATAAATAGTCGTTTGTTCTCAAGAGAGTTGTTCTTTTGAAAAAGATGAAAAAAATGATTACGATTAGATATAGCAGCCGCACAAGAAGGAGAAAACCATGGAGTAGAATGAGGCTTGACTTGAAACCGACGCGAAGGAATAAAAGCTTCCATTCCAGCCTGAATCCAGAAGGTTATGTAGGAGGCGCATTTGTTAGCTGAGAGAGAAAAAACATCAGCCCAAGGACCATCACGAAGAAAATCACGAAAGGAATCCCAGTCAGCTTTAGGGTAGTAGTAGGTGGTGCGATGATAAGGTGAACCCAAAAAAGAAGTACGAGAAGAAAGATTTATAGAGATCATTGCATGGTCAGAACCACCTAAGGGAGAAAAGGGTGAAACTGAACATAAGCTAGGGTCAGAGACAAGACATAAGTCAAGGAGTGAAGGTAAACGATTAGGGTTGTCAGGAAAACGAGTCACAAAGTTAACTATCTGAGTAAGAGATTGAGAAACGCAGAAGTTAAAGGCTTTAGTGCCAGCAGGATCAGTGGTGTTAGAGCCAAGCCATTCAGTGTGATGGGCATTAAAATCACCAACAATAACAATATTGGCAGAGGGGTAAAGAGAGAGGACATGGTCAATTTGATCAGAGATAACATCTAAGAGAGTGCAATCATGGGAAGAAGGAGAACGATAAAGAACAAAGAGAAAGGTGATAGAGTGAAGAGGTGCTAGGCGAAAGCACATAAAAGAATGGTCAAAGGATTCGAACCTGATTTCACGACAAATAGGGGAATTAATGCGTATGTATACCCCTAAACCTAGCATGTGACTATTGGAGTCTTTACGAATCAAAGGATAGTACCCATCAACACTGACATCTGAAGAAGGAATTGCAGAATTTAAATTTGTTTCACTGAGTGCAAGCAAGTCTGGTGAATTTTGCAGGAGGTAAGACTCAACTGATGGAAAGTTGCTTCGTAGACCGCGAATATTTGTAAAAGATATATTAAAATATTTAGGTAATGGAGATGGTTTTTTGGGTTTTAAATTTTTGGTTACTTTGGTCATGATTTGGGTTTATTGAGAACTTGACTCATTCATAGATAGAGCACAGCCTCTTAATCAATGAGCTATGCAGTTGTCTCAGTCCTGTTAATTAACCCTAAGCCGTGACATAGGGCTCCTTATGTGGCCTTGACAATGCACACCAAAAGCATTAACAGGGACACTATCCATGCGCAACATGGCACTGTTAATACTCTGATATTTTGCAGCTGTTGATGGAATCAGCCTCTCTGAGAGCTACCACAGAGTTCGGGAAACCTTACTACCAGCCGGCCTCAGAACCATTAAACTGAGTTTTAGAGCTGTACCCTCATATGGAGATAACAGGAAGAGTTGCATAGCTATTATCAAGGAGGCATAAGCAAAACTCTATGAGTAGAGTCAAGGAGATCCAGCATTCATCATCCTGGATAGCAGAATTTTTCTGCTTACCCCTAAAGTCTTTGCCTAGGAGGCCTTCTACAAGAAAGTAGCTGGATGCAGTTAACATCTGCCCAAGATGAGTGTTTTTATCGAGACACCATCTCAAGCCTTTACTCAACCAAGAGCCCCAAGGCAGGGGAATTTTTAGTCGGAGTTTATTTCTCCTAGCCTTTGCCTAACTCTGCAAGGCAGCAGGGCTTGTGACAGGTGGTACTGGGTTACGTGATACCAGTAGCAAGATTGGTCTCGATTATCCTGACCTGACCTGGAGTAGGTAAAAGGAGTTACTTCCCGCAACAGTACTTTGAGAAAACCAGGCATGATATTTTGGAAGTGCATTAGGAAAACACTGCATCTAACAAAATACAGGAGTCTAAGGTGAGTGTACGTTTTGTAGTTGGAGTAAGTAGTTAGTTACTGAGCTCACGCTGCATTAGAGTATAAACAGAACACAAACATAAACATAAATCAACTTACGGGTGAGTCAACACCGCGCCAGAGGTTCAGACAGAACACAAACATACATAAAAAACATAAAGTACAGTGGAGTATAAAGTTACTTGCTCGGGTAGTTCATTCCAGAATTTTTCTGATCTATTATATAATTGGTTGTGTTTTGGAAGACAGTTTGGAACATATTCACGTCTTATTTTAAGATGATGACCACGTAAAAATTAGTTGATAAATTTTGGTTGATATATATTATTAATTATATCAAATCGACGTATTAGTTTAAAAATTTGTATTAGATCGCATCGTAGGCGCCGAAACTCGAGTGATTGGTGAATATAAGTTTAAAACAGTAATAATAAAAAGCTCAGCAA